GTGGACGCGTAAGCACGTGAAGCAGGTCACCAAGCTGCTACGTCGTGCTTGGCGTGTGGTGCACGTGTGCCAGCTTATGGCGGATGTAGCCCAATTTATGGCGGGCGTGTGCCGGCTTGTGCTGGGCACGTGCCTAAACTGCTCAAGCAGGCAGGCAGTTTACTCAAGCTGCTGAGTCAGCGAGCAGATTTCCCTTGGTCACAATTTTTCCTGTTGGCCAATCCAACAAGAATGATCCGCGGGCAATCCGATCATCCGATACTCTAACTCATTTGGCCAATATCCTTTTCATTCGACCGCGCATTGATCCATTGTATGGGTTATTACAGCGTCGATATCCGAGATGCCCTAGCATTGCCACCACGATTTTCAGAATCGACGGCAAGGTATTTACGTCGTCCTCCTGTTTGGGATAATAGGGGCTGCATCAGAAAGCATTATACTACAAGCACTTTCTAAAAAAGTATTGGGAGCCAGAAAAAGGAAGAAACCTCAGAATCATCTTTCCAATGAATCAGTTGAAGTCCCTGCTGCAACTGGAGTTTTCATCCATGGTTTTGAAGATGAGTTCTACATGGTACTCTTATGACGAGAAAATTTTTTCATCTTCCATTTTATGCAAACCTCTTAAATAGGTTTTGTAGAAAAAAGTTCAGTTGTTATTTCATTGTTTCTTGGACTTATATATCGGTGTTTGCATGCGTCATTCTGAACGTATGGGAAGCTGCGGTTGACTCATTCCACTCCCTTTCAGTAAATTCTATCAAATTATCAGATGAAGCTGTATATCTAGTGATGGATATGTTATACGATGATTACATGGTTGTGAGGTTGAAAGCTTTAGAGGCATTGTATCATATAGCTGACTAGGGAACTTGAAGATACAAGAAACTTATATGCCTGCCGTAAGTCACCATATCCTTTTGCCTTTTACTTTTTTTCTATAGAGCTTGTTAGGTAGAAAGGTAATGATTATGCAGATGCAATACTTCTCTTGCAATACTCCATAAATTTGGTGTCGTGTCTTGACTGATCCATGTTTTTTTTCAAATCATTTCCTATGGGTTTAAGCCCCGCTGAAGTAGCTTCAGTGAATTTTTTGCCCTCTAGGGTCTAATGCTTAATGAGACATTCTTAAATTGGCAAAGCTACCTGATCTGAAGCAGGTCAACAAATGTGTTGACGGTGTCCTAAAAAGTTTAGAGATATATCCACATGTTGGTATACTTACCTAAAAAAATCAAGTATCTTCTAACTGCATCAATTCTTTCTTTTTCTTCTTCTGAACGTCAATTTTCTTCCTATTTCATACTAGGACGAACCTGATATCCTGTCTGCTCTGTTCCATTTTAGACAAAACCACACCAATTTCTTAGTTAGTATGGTCAAGAAATTTTGTGAGAAGGTAAGCCAGCATTTTTTTACTCTTTTCATGACTCGTCAACTATAATAGGCATACTAATTATTTCTTTGCATACTCTGTCATGCTCTTCAGTTAGAGGCAGCTTCCGTAAATAAATCTGGATTAAACAGCAGACAGGTATCTGCATCTCCGATGCTGATAATCTCAGTCCCTCTCTCAGACAAACTAAGCGTGACTTCCATACCACCTCTGGCTTTTTCTTATTCACTTGCAATGCTGGGAAATTCTTTCCTGCACTTCACGAGATGATGGACCAGGATATGCTTTTGGCTCACTTGACTTATTGCACTATTCTTTCTGCTTTTTCGGGGACAGAATTTGAGACAAAACCTAACTTGATTTACACTCGTTTAACGGCTTATAAAAAGAATAACGAACTCAATAAATAGTCATTTCTTGTCTAAATCCTTTATTAAAAATAAATAACCGGGAACTTGAAATGTCTTAACAATAAACCAAATTTTAAATCCTTGAAGAAAAATTATTAAAGAAAATATAATTAAAAATTCTTATTAAAAATAATTGAATAGAAATTCTTATTGAAATGTCTTAACATGGTCCCTGGAAGCAATACCACATCCACTGCCATAAGTATTACTCTTCGGTTTTACCTGAAAAAGAGAGAGGGATGAGTATTCGGGGGAAAATACTCAGTGAGGGTGTGCTTATGGACCACACATGATTCTTAGATACATTATTTGAAATAGCAATAAAGAATATGCACAATATAAGCAATAAACACACAACAACCTATATGTTCTTAATACATTTCTACATGTCATGAGATAATCATTTCTATATGCAGTAATTCACTTCAAGTCAATCATCCTAACAATACTATATTACATTCCCGAAGACCTCGGTCTAAAGTACTCATTCTCCTTTACTTTTTCTTTCATTAACATCTGCAACTCGTCAGCTGTTTGACCCACTCACTGACGAATCCTTCGTGGAACCATGGCACTACACTTCTCATCATGTCTTTCGTGCAGCCAACAAACAATACCATGCTCCATGGCTCAACACCCATGACGCCAGCAGCAAACAATCGTGCTACATGCCTAACAAACATCTACTTCACATAATTATGCATTCAACCATCTTTCAAATGCAATAAACAACAATCATATATATCACCTATATCAAACATACACATATTCCTACTTCAGCTAAGGCATTTTAGGAGTCCACATCTAGTCCTCACCTTGAAAACACCACAAAGAAGAGTCTGAAGAGTAGAAGCTGTTATCCAAACCCTGTGATACACACAATACAAAAACTAGGATTTCAGATTCGCATGACTAAACTCTTTCTTGGTCGAGAAGGCAAGCCCATAACTTTCGTATCCCACCTTAGAATTGAAATCTGAAACTTGATCTGAAAAGTTGGATGCAAAAGGTTCAAATTGATGTGTAGACCGTGATCAGGATCCTTCTAGATCGACGGCAAAACTTCTCTCCAGTTGGCTCTGCGAAACTGGTAAAAATCAGATCTGCGGAAAAAATGATTTTTTGCCAATTTTGAGCTCGCTTAAAAAGCAGAGTTTACCTCGGATTTATGATTTACAAACTGCTATGGATTTTTTGCAGCGAGATATTTTCTAGAGGTTTAAAGATCTGCACCTAGCTCGATCGGAGTTACTGGCAAACGACTCAGCAAAACCCTCACTCGGATAGAGATTATTATCGAGTTTCATTACGTTAACTCGGTATGGCTCTCAGAAGAAAGTGGCAGGCCTTTATATAGGGAGGGGGTCGAGCTTCTTAGGTATAAGGTGGAGAAGAAATAACAAAAATACACTTATTCACACTTAAGGCTATTATTTTCTTCTCTTGGGTTTTGGAGAACTTGGGCTCATTTTTAGAGAAGGATTTTTAGAGATTGTGCCGCAGGAGGAAAAAAAAAAATGGACTTCAACCCTAAGTTTGGGATGTCACAAACTATCAAAGGAGATCAATTTTTCATGCATAAAGGCACAACAATGCAGATCTTAGCAGAAATCTCGTCCTCATACCAAGCAAAGATATATATATATATATATATATAAACACATGGCTTCCAAAGCAGAACTGCAGAACTAGAAAATAGAAATCAAGCAATGAAGTCTGTTGATTATATAATGTTGAAAATAAAGGTGGCCTGGTTCTTCTCACAATCAGAATGCTCAAAAGAAGCAGTCCGAGCGTTAAGGTAGTACAACTTACAATCTGTTGCATTTCCAGCCTCTGTATTACTACTGTTTCAAGTGTACTCTATATAAATGTTTTTCTTGTCTTCTTGCTTGTAAACAGGAACTGCAAACAGCCAATTTTTCAATCTCCAGTGGTGCATTAGAATTTATGTGTTAATACGTTCACGTAATAGAACTTTTCGTTCAGGTGTGGCCCCATTTCGAATACTCAAGACACTCCAGCACGTGTAAATCTGTAGAACTGGCCGGAACTCCTGATGGAAGAAGTTGAGATAAAAAAAAAAATGGAGATAAGGTGTAGATTCACAGGCCTTTCTACGGAGGTTTCACTAGTATTGGAGCTAGTAATTTTTGGTTACTTGTTAAGGCTATATAAATCTGAGATCTGCTGCCGCCTTAGCTGCAAGAAGAAGTTATCTTCAACAGTATCTCAATTAGAGCTCCACCATGAACAATGCACCAAACCAACAAATTTTGTAACTGAAAGTAAGAAGTCATTGCAAGAGATTCGAAGCTATGCAGATATAAATTGCTATAGACTGTTTGATCTCATCAAGAAATACAATTGTTTCTCTCTCGAACAGTTTATGTTATCTGGTAATCTGCAGTGTGTCAGTGAGCTCGAGGTTCCTGGTAATGGTCCTTACATTCCGATTTCCTTTGTGGCTGGGCTACCACTGACTATACCGTGCGAGATCATGCTGCTAAATGTGCCGAGAGATACCTCTTTATGGCTGAGAATATCCAAAAGCGATGAAACTTGCCAGTTTGTGTACTTGGACCCAAACCTCTACAATGGAGATGAGAGAGAGAAGAGATTCATGTTTAGTGCAGTAAATTACATGAACCTGAGGGCTAGTTTGTTCACATTGCGGGCCTCAATAGGCAAAAAGTTTCGTTTGAAGACGTTTGTTACAGAAAACTGCATCATGGTTCGAAGCATCCAATTTCTTATCTGTGTAAGGAAAGAGTTCACAGTTCCCTTGTTTCAAGAACTGAAGCTCTCTAATAACCTGTTGCGGCTTTATAAAGTGCTGCTGATTGGGGCTAAGCACCAGGAGAGATTAGGATTATTGCATCGGTGGACACAGGATGTGCGAAGCGACTGAATATAGATTTGTCTGTTCTGTTTCTTTTCAATAATCCAAACCTCAAGGGATGGTTCGGCTAATGGTCAAGTAGAGTTAGAATAAGATCCGAGTGTTACTATTTATGTATTTGTAATTACTCAATATAAATAGGAAGTGACATATAAATATTTAGTTAACAAGTCACAACAAGTGAGACAAATCCCGCGACCCATGGGGTATGAATGTGGTCGATATTTACTGTTAACTTGTCATTTACTACATGAACTCAAAAAGTTATAGAATCTATAATAAGATATTTGAAGTTTTTGTATTATTTGAAATCATTTTAGTTTCCAGTGAAACCTATTGTTGCAAATTAAATAGTGAGCTCACCAATAGTCATTGCAAGAACAAAATCCATTTGTAAAACAATGAAACCTATTGTTGTCTCTAACAACAATTTCTCTTTTCGTGATCTTCGATATCAATTTCATCACTTCATGACAATCTCCGCACACTCTTAGATTCTTCACCACTCGAATCACTTCACCGTGAACTGTACTGATCAGCCCAAACGCAACCGCAAGCTTCTCGCTGTGATACCCCAAGACCGTTTCCTTTTCTTCCTCTTCAACGTCGAACATAACACATTCTGTTGTTGGAACAAAACCCATAAGCCTCATTTCATTACCCAAATCTTCTAGCTTTGCATATATCTTATCGCTCAGAGGATGAGACTTATCATCTGCGAGAAACTCGTGGACCGTCCCTTTCAATTCAATCCAACTAAATCCCGGGATTTTCTTCATACCTTTCTTGTTCATTGTGTCTCTCACTTCAGCCGCTTCGTCCCATCTGCCACCTACTGAATATATGTTAGATAACTGAACGTAATTTCCTGCATTCCACGGCTCCAAAGCAATGAGTTCTTTGAGAACACGTTCTGCTAACCGAGTTTCTTTGACCAGTCTGCATCCGCTCAATAACGCTCCCCAGATTATCGCGTTTGGCTTCATGGGCATATCGCAGATCAAGCGATATGCGTCACCTAATAACCCAGCTCTGCCCCAAAGATCTACCATGCAACCATAGTGCTCAACCGTGCGTTTTAACGAGTAAATGCAGCTCATGGCGTTGAAAAACCGAAGCCCGTCTTGGATTAGCCCTGCGTGAACGCACCCACATAACAGTCCAAGGAATGTGTACCCGTCAGGTGAGATACCTAACTTTTCTGTTTGTCCAAAAACCGCAAACGAGAGCTTAACGTGGCCATTCTTGGCCAGACCAGTAATTGCAGTGTTCATGATAACTCTATCCCTCTCCTTCATATCTTTGAACACTTGAAAACCTCGAGCCATAGCCCCACATTTTGCATACATGTCGATCAGCGCATTGCCCATAACCAGGTTGTTCAAGAACTCATGCCTATCAATTAAACTACTCCCCCATTCGCCTAGATCAAGCGCTCCTAGGCTTGCACAAGAAGAAAGAAACCCGACAATGGAATACTGGTCGGGTTTCAGATTTTCCCGCAACATCTGGAGGAATAACTCTACACCTTCTTTCGGGAGGCTATTCGACGCATAGCCTTGTATCATAGTGCTCCAAGTAACAATATCTTTCTCCGCCATAGAGTCGAAAACAGAACGTGCTTTCTCCATCTTCCCACGCTTTGCATAGAGATTGACAAGTGTTGTGCACACAAAGCAGTTCTTCGGCATCCCAATCTCTTCCACGAGCTTGTCAATCCACTCTGCGCTGTCGAGATCCCCGACCCGAACACAAGCAGTTAGAACCCGAACAATCAAATAGCTATCTGGTCTCACACCCATCTCCACCATCTCCCTGAACAGATCAATAGCCTCCCTATGTTTCCCGGCAGAAATATACCCACTAACAAAGGCCGTCCAAGATACAACGCTTCTCTCAGGAATTTCGTCGAACAGTTTGTGGGCATCATCAAGACGCCCAGATCCAGAGTAGACAGAGAGCAAACTCGTCATAGCGCAGACATCGTGACTAAACCCACATTTAACCACAAGAGAATGAAGGTCAATCCCGAGCTTGAGATTCTGGGATCTGGTGCAGGCCTTGAGAACGAAAGGGAAAGTGAAACCATGGAGGGAGAGACCGTGTTTGCGGGTGGAGAGGAAGAGACCGAGGGTTTCATGAAAGAGATGATTGTTGACAAAGCCATTAATGAGAGTATCGTAAAGGAAAATGTTGGGGAATTGGGTATGAGAGAAGAGGAGGAAGGAGTAATGGTTTTGGCGGAAGAAGAGAGTTCGCTTGAGGAGGAGGTTGATGAGGAAAGTGTCATGATGGAGATCGTGGCGGATGAGGGAAGCGTGGATATGCTTTAGGTGATTGACGGTAGATGCGATAGAGATTAAGGTTTTAATTTGTTGGGCTTTCGATGCTGATGACGTGTTGGTGGCAATGTTCATGGCTCTTATCTCCCGCCAATTTTTATCACTCTTGAAATGAATAGCGATGGTATTACCGTGTAATCCCGCTATGCGGTCAGCTTACGCGGATAACCAGTTTTCTTCCACATAAAACTGATTTAAAAAAAAAACGTTGGGTTATGGAAGATATCGGAGACTAATAAAAAAAATCCGAGCCCAATAAGAGGCCCAGTAAGCCCAACTGATGGTACACAATTTCTGCTATGTGCGTTCTACTTGGCTGAGTAATTAAACATTTTCCTACCAGATGAGACACTTGTTTAAAGTACAGCTTCCACTTCTAAATTACCCCAGTTTTTCGATGTGTGACAAACAAAAACCGACTTTTTAAAAATTTATCATGAGTCCTCAACACACAAATATATCCTCTAGGTCAACTATTATGCACGTTTTCATAGAAACTCTAGTTCATTGATGCTTTAAAATACTATGTTTTTCAATTGGAGTATAGCACTATTTATAGAACATGGTGAGTTTGACTGACTTTCACTCTATTTTCGATGTAGGACTTTTACCATTTTTTTTTCCTTTTTCTTTTGTCAACTTTACCACTTTCTTTTACAACAAAAACTTAATTATTATATACACTTATTAAATCTATACATTTAGGATAGAAAGCTCAATAATAGAGATGATATTAAATTAGAAAATTTACTAATAATAATATTAATAAGACCAAGAGTCAATAGTTTAATTAGTAAATATCAGATAAAATTTAGATGTCGCTGGTTCGAAGGGCTTTTGAGACGAAACTAATATTATATATTGTAGTTTTGGGCCTGGAGAGATTACGGACTTTGACCCAGAAACTCTTGGTAATCCAAAAAAATAGGTTTATACATCATAGAATTGTATCAAGGGCTAAATTATTTAATAAATTTTATAATTATACTTACACTTAAAAATTTTAATAACTTTTACTTAATACACATCTTTATATATTAATATAAAATAAATAATTTATTAAATTTATTAGTATAAATTAAAAAAATAGTACGTACAAAAATTAATCCTGATTAATTATCGACTAATTTCCAATTTTTTTGTCTAAGCACTAAACGAACTTCGACCGCCCAACTAACCCTAGCACAATTTTGATTTTTTGAACATGGGTCATAATCTTTAGTCTTTTAAATAATTTTCCTTAATTGTTTTGGTACAATACTTTTACTTGTATGCCAAGTAACACTAGCTTTCCCATTTGCATCAAATCATTGATTTCAATTCAATTCGTTTTACTATCAAGTTGATTTGGTATAAGTTCATTTGCTTAGTTGTCTCCTTTTCTTCTTTTTTTGCTTGCTCCTATAATCTCATTTTTCACTAAAAAAATTCAAATAAAACATAATTAGGTTGGAAACGTCATTAAAAATTGGAATGGAGAAAGTAAGCTTAACGAAATTTAAGTTATGTTACCAATGGCAAAACCTACCGTATGACGTATAATACATTATTGTACATTCAACGTAATTATACTACACACATTTCAAATATTAATTTTAATTACAATATGTGACGACTGACGACGACAGCGGATTTTACAACAAACTTTTTATATTATTAGACTTGGGAATAAGAGTAACAAGGGAGAAAAAAAGACAAAAACTTACTTGACTCTGAGTGTAGCAAGATGGAGCTATATCTGATTTATTTTTTTGTAAGGATAATAATTTTTTTTGATTTTTGGTAGATAAGGAAATGTAAAATAACTTCAATTTTATTTGAATTTCGAAATTAAATTTATATATATAAAAAAATAATTTTTATTAATATTTAACTGAATTAATTTATTTGGTAACAGAAATAGCAGTTATCTAAAAACAGAATAATTTTAAATGAAGAAAATATTTTTGAACACAAAAAATGCTTCCTTTTTAATAGTATAGGTATGATATTAGTTTCTTGATCCAATATTTTTAAATAGAAATATATCTTATTAAATTTTGAATAACTTAAGGATAAAATCATTGGTCGAGTACTAAAACTTTACCAAAATAATATATACTAGGTGATATGATTGTGAATTATTTTGAAATATCGAAGGAATTTATGTTCAATAACATTTTGGAAGACTTCAACGAAAACGTGAGTACGTGACATTTTCCTAGAGGACATATTAATGTGTTGAGGACCTATTTTTAACTCAAACCCATCAATACCTATGAACATTTTTTTTTTTAAATAGGTCCTTAGTTTTGTCCCACATCGTAAAACTGGAATAATTTATAAAGTAAATGTGCCATATATACCTAATACTATTCATAATTTGCTAAAAAAGAAAATGTACTATTCAAATACTATTTAATTTTATTTAATACTATCTTACCCCTATATACCCGAGCTTCCTAGCTAAAATTTTTTCACTCATATCTTATATTCTTTATCTTCTTCTTCTTCTTTCTTCTTCTTTCTTTCTTCTTCTTTCTTTCTACGTTTCTCCACAAAAATTTGACTGCGAACTTTTTTGTTGTTTCTCTTCTTCAAATGTTCCACTGCAAACTTCAGATTTCTCTGGTTTGATTTCAATTTTCTCGAGAGAACTAATCAAAATTGCTGATCTTATCTAAATCAAAGTTATTTTAGTTTCGTCTCTTCTCTGAATTTATGTATCTGCTGATGTAAATTAGAAACTCAGTTTCTTCTCTAAAACTATGGATCTGAGATTGAGAGGAGATTGTTGAAGATGGAGATCTCGATGAGTTATATTGGAAAAATATTAATTTGAAAGTTAACAATCAACCATTGTTAATACCATCTAACAAATATTTTAAAAATGTTAATTTGAAAGTTAACAATCAACAAATGTTAATACTATCTAACAAATATTTTGATATATCTTTAATATTCCACTTAACATGTTAACTATATTATTACACCAAATATAACAACTGAAACTAAACATGCTAACAAATTATATAGTTTCATAACATGTTTTGTAATTGTATAACTTATATGTTAACATATATGAGATTAAAAACAGTTTTAAAGAATTATTTAGACTGCTAACGTTTAATGTAAATGTATAACATATATGTTAATGGGTTTTGATATAATCAGTTATCGAATCAAATATAGCAACTTAGAGGTGTCAAAGATTGCAAAAATCTTTTTTTTTGTTTTAAGCATGCAGAAACTTACCATGCTAACAAAGTATATAGTTTGATAAGATTTTATGTAATTGTATAAATTATATGTTAAGTAAAGAAGAATGATGAGAGAGAAATTCTATAGCGGTAATATTTTGTGGTTCTCAAAAGCCTATAAGCAGACATACGCTATCTACAAGAATCTATAGAGGTCGATATTATCTTTTTCATGTCATTTAAAATAAATCAAAAATAGGGTTAGCAAAATAGGGAAAGTCAGTTTGAGGGTTGCTTGAGGGTTTTTTTCGTAATCTACCACCATTTCGAATTCAAACTTTTCTCGTGATTCACTGATTTTACTTTCTAACAAATTTTGACCGGTCTTGTGTCTATTTAGCAAATTGTCTCTAATTTATAAGGGGAAGCTGCACTATAAATGAGTCTTCATTTCAAAATTGTTAGTAATTTCTCAGCTAAATTGTAGGCCTAAAGCAAATTCCTTGTGCTATACGCTCCAGTTAGGCCTGTTATTGGGCCCTATTTTTTTAAGTCTCTGATTTTTCAAATAAATCACCCTTTTTTTGATAATTCGGTTTTAGGAGGAAGAAAGTCGATCAGCACCGATCAGCACCTAGTTGGCTGATTAATCGTTTAGGCGGGTCGGAGCGAAACTCTTCTTAATCTGAGTTTACAGTCACTCACTCTCTCTCCACATTCTAGCTTCTATTAGGTCACTCATTATCAATACTGACACTCCCGGCTTTATAATTTCCTCGGCTTTGACTTTCTTACTAGTTTTCTAAGCCGAGACGACTTGGCGATTCTTTGCTACGTCCTCAAGCTCCTCTCCGACCTTTCCTTTTGTAGAAAGGAACTAGCAAAACAGATCTTCAACTCAGTCTTCTCCAACTTGCTCCGCCTTCAAAACTCTGTCGCTGATTCGAGCCACAGATGCATTGTCGTGGAATCGCTTGTTCTTCTGGCGTCGATATCAGAGATGAACCCTAGCATCGCCACCACAATTTCCAGAATCGACGGTGAGGTATTTGCGTCCATATGCCTCGGAGCACCTATATCTTCTCGGATGTGGCTACTTAGGAATGCGGAGAGGTTCAATGTCCCCTCGTCCGTATTTTTCACATTGTTTTTAGGGTTTACCAAGAATCCATATCCTTATATCAGAAAAGTAGCTCTGGATAGGCTGGTTTATTTATGTAACGCTGGTGCCTTTGATCACGCCCCTGCTATACAAGGTTGCTATACTCGTGCTGTTGAGCTGCTAGGCAATGCTGAAGATATTGTCAGATCTTCTGCAGTGTTGTTTTTCTTCTCAAAACAGAATACTCTGTTTTGATATAGTGCATAGCTCGTTTAGAAAGAAGGAGAACAAAGAGTTTGAACAAACTTGTTTTTTCATTTTTGCCAAAAAGTGTTCTCGAGTACAATGCAAAACATTAGACTTATACAAGAAATAAAAGGTAACAACTTTTCTCTAGCTTACACCTTTTCCACAAAATACTCGACATAGTCAAAAGGCTAGATATAGCTTTATCTTTCTTCATACTTTCAACTGTTCCACCAACTCCTTCTTAACTGGATTTCTTCTAGTTTGGTTTGAAACCAAAATGGCATTGTTCAACACTCCCACTTGCCATTTTCTGAATCAAACCGAGCTTGTTACGAAATCTCTTAAAGGTTAGTCCACTCAAAGCTTTTGTAAACACATCAGCTAGTTGTTCCTCTCCTTTGCAGAATCTCAACTGAATTTCCCCATTCCTCTCATAATCTCTAACGACATGGTACTTGATTTGAATGTGTTTAGTTCTTCTGTGCTGAACTGGATTCTTCCCAATAGCTATAGCCGATTGACTGTCACAGTAAATAGGTACTCCC